AGAAATGTGGTCTAAAGAATGGTATTATATGCAGATGCCTAGTAGCAATTATTGATTAAAAAAAAGGGTATCTAAGTTTAATTGATGCCTCTTGTGGGCACCACCACTAGCCATAAACACATGTAAAAAAGTTGGTGCTTTTCCTCTCCATTTATTCTACATCTAAACCCACCCTCATTATGACAACAAGCAAATAATGACAACAACATTCCTTCTCCTCATTTTTTGTTCTTTCATCAAATCATCAGCTTCCAACAACATTAATCAAGATCATCTTCCAAGAGGCTCCTCTCTATCTATTGATGAAAATTCTCACCTCTTAACCTCCACAGACAACTCTTTCACCTGTGGTTTCTATTCCTTCCAGACCAATGCTTACTGGTTCGCAACATGGTTTACAAACTCCAAGGACCACACCGTGGTGTGGACGGTCAACCGCAACACACCTGTCAATGGCCATGGTTCAAAGGCRACGTTTCGGAGAGATGGAGCAATGGTTTTGACCGATGTGAACGGCATGGTTGTGTGGCAGACTAACACAACCTCAACCGATGTAAATACATATGTATTATGTTAACAGTGAGTAAATACAGATGTATTATGTTAACAGTGAGTAAATATGGTTGTGAACGGCAAGGTTGTGCAGCATATACAGATGTATTATGTTAACAGTGAGTAAATATGGTTGTGAACGGCAAGGTTGTGCAGCATATACAGATGTATTATGTTAATAGTGAGTAAATATTGATCTCAAACCATAGGTGCTGTACTGCTGTGTGTTTTAAAAAATAAGATAATAGAAGGAGAAAAGTGCAGCAAGAACAATGAGAGGACATGATTGATTATCAAAAGATGGTAAATTCTTCTCTAAAAAAAGATGGTAAATTATTCTCTAAAAAAACAGAATGTAATGAGATGATACTTGTTATCACAATGTATCACACCATTGTTATCACAATGTATCACACCATTGTGCCAAATAGATTACGTTCAACACTATTTGTACCACAATGTAGCACAAATTGATTATCAAAAGATGGTAAATTCTTCTAAAAAAAAACAGAATATTCATCATTCAATAGTATTTAAAACAAACAACCACAAACACTACACCCTAAAACTGATGATTTAAACCTAAAATCGTGTTAGGGAATGTAATGAGATGATACCTGTTTCTTTGATTGCTATAACATCAACATGGTCTTCAACATCGGTTTCTAGGTCAATGGCTTGGCTTTCTTTATTTGAAAACTTAAACATCAATTT